CAAAACGACAGCAACTTGTCTGTTCCCCTTCCCCCAATTCCCCAGCGCTGTTCCCATCTCCCCAATTCCCCAATAAAAATCTTAAAAAAAAAATTTGCCCTACATGTCCATCTTACCTCTGTGCCCCAGTCAGAATTAACACCTGCTTTTTCTGTGCTCCCCAGCACTGTTACTTTAAAGGCTGGTCTCAATTTTCACTCTACCTTGATCTGTACTCAGTTATATTTATGTGTCCTCTCCCATAAGCTCTATGAACAGAATAGCTTTGTCTTGGATATCTTCATAAACCTAAGAGCATATAGCATGGCACTTTGCATGTACTCCGTATAAAAGAATGAACAAATTAATCCAGCATTTAAAGAGCAAAGAAGTGGTCCATCTGAGGCACTTCCGGTCAGAGCCTTATCTCCCCAGGAAGCTCACTGGCTTTGCATGGGGAACACTTCCTCACTTCCCTGGGACCTACCTTCTGACCCCAAATCCTCCACTTTGTCAGAACCTCAACAAGACCTTCAGGAAAAGGGACTGAACTTTGCTCTTTGGCCTTTGACCTATCCTGGTTTGTCTTGGAGTGGAGCAGAAGAGAAGAGACGAGAGATTTCTGTTTTACAGCAGTCACTGCTGTAAACATATAGCTTACATAGCATCTTTTCATGCATTGACTCCCACGATCTTCATAAGTCTATAAAGTAGAGATTATTACCATTCCCTTTTTTAAAAAAATTTATTGGGGAACAGTGTGTTTTTCCAGGACCCATCAGCTCCAAGTCAAGTAGTTGTCTGTAATCTAGTGGAGGGCGCAGCTCCCTGGCCCATGTGGGAATCGAACTGGCAACCTTGGTGTTATGAGCCTGCGCTCTAACCACCTGAGCTAACCAGCCGCCCCCTACCATCCCCATTTTATAGATGAATACACTGAACCTTAGAGAGGTTAAAGATTAAGTGCCTGGCATCAGATCACACAGAGGATCAGGGACTGGTCTAATTTGAATCCATAGCTTTTCCATTGTACGCAGCTATTGACATGTCTCTAAAACATAGCAGTTTTAAAGGCAGGGTGTTTGTCTTTTTCCTCTTTGTGTCCCAATGCCTGGTACTTTGAACCTTCACTCTTCAGAGCTCTTAGCACAGGGCCTAAGTAGGTCTCAGAGAATGTTTGTTGAGTGAATGAATGCGTGAATGTTGAGACTCAAAAATGAACCAGGCAGACTTAGCATAGGAGTAGGTAATTAGGCATTCATATCTATCTTCCTGTCTTCCCTCCCTCCTCTCCTATTTCCCTCCCTCCTTCCCTTTCTTCCTTCCTCTGGCAGTTGACATCATTCATTCATTGATTCATTCAAATTTAGTCATTTTGAGCATTGGATCACTAATGCTCCCATCTATGATGTGTTTCAGTGCCTGGCTGAAGGACACCGCTGACCCAGTGCTGGTGACCCTTGACCATCGCATTGCTGCCCTCACAGGTCTTGATATCCGGCCTCCCCATGCAGAGTATCTCCAGGTGGTGAACTATGGGATCGGAGGGCACTATGAGCCTCACTTTGACCATGCTACGGTAACTGTGGGGCCCTCCACCAGTCTCCTGGGAGGGAGAGGGTGGGGGGAACCAGACTATTACTTATTTCCCTGAGGCAGAACTCTTCTAGGGCTCCCAGGGAATACTAAGTGAATCTTAGAATAAAGGTTCTTTTTCCAGGAAGACCTGAAGCCTCAGTTTCAAGCTGATTGGTGCTTACTCATTTTCTTATGTGCCACCATCCCCCTCTCCATAATTTGCTAGTGGGGAGAAGAATGGCCTGTCATGGAGTCTTCTGTCTTGCTTCACTCAGGGACTTCCAGTGAAGACTGTCCTTCCTCTAGTCACTCTCCTTATCTATGTATTTTATGATTCTATTTATATGAAATTTCTAGAAAAGGCAAAATTAGAGAGACTGAAAGTAGATCAGTGGTTGCCTGGGATTGGGTGTGGGAGTGGGGATTAACTGCACACTGACATGAGGGAATTTTTTCAGCTGATGGAAGCGTTCTCAAATTGAATTGGTGGAATGGTTGTACAACTGTTAAAATGTACTCAAACTCATCGAACAGTATACTTACAATGGGTAGATTCTATGATATGTAAATTATATCTCAATTAAACTGTTCTGTGACCAAAAAAAAGGGGGTTGTCTTTTCAGCAAAAAAAATGGGAACTCCAGTCTTATAACTTGGTATTCCTATATAATAACTATCTGTAATTTTTATATATTTATTTATTTATTTCACCAAGAATCTAAAGGTGCAATTAACCCTTTATATAGTACTTTCACTACTGGTAAGCAATTCTGTTTGATTAGTATACAATTCATTTATATGAGTGTCTAATAAATTAGTAAAAAAAAAGGGCCGGTCAGGTGGCTCAGTTGGTTAAGAGCTTACTCAAGAGTGCGAGCTCTGAGCAACAGGGTCACCAGTTTGGTTCACGGCCCGAGCTGAGCTGCCGCTGAGCTGCCAACAGGTGGCAGGATGGGTCAGCTAAAAAAAGTAAAATAATAATAATAATAATAATAATAATAAATTAGTTAAAAAAAAGTATATTGAGCACCTGCCAGCACAGATAGACACAAACCCGACTAGGTGTAGCTCAAGACTAGATCATCCATGACCCCCATTTTTCTCCTCCCAGTATTATTATGGTGGAATCTTGGCTGTCACTCTGGTACCAACTGCATAAAATAATATGTTTTATTTTTGTCTCAGTCACCAAGCAGCCCACTGTACAGAATGAAGTCTGGGAACCGAGTTGCAACATTTATGATCTATGTGAGTCTTGCTCTAAACCAGGGCTTCTTACTTAGTGACTATTTATGTCTCTCTTTTATTGTTCTCAAAGCAATCTCAGATGTTTATTTTGTCTGGTACTCACAGCTGAAAAATCTCCAGGACTTTCGTGAATTTCAGATGCATTTTCTTAGACACTATAGGAGATAACTACAAGTCAGATTGGGGGTGGGGGTGTTATCAGTTTGTGAGGGGTGTAAATGTCTATTACATTGCTTTGTACACATGAAACTAAAGAAGTAAAAAAATTAAATTAAATTAAAAAAATAAATAAATACAACTGAGACCCAGATATGTGTAGACCTAAATATGACCTTGTCTCAGGCATGGGAAGTTGGGTTACACTGAAGGCCAGCACAGGAAGAGGATGCGAGAGCCTCTCCCTTTGAGATCCCATAGACAAGTTGGGGTGAAAAGCGTGGACCTGTAGATGAGGTTGTGGAACTGTCAGGGGGAGGAGAAAAGAAATGAGGCAGCTGAGAATACAGGAGGGAAGGATGAGATGCCTAGAGAGAAATTCAGTGTCACTCTCTCATATAAGTGAAAATGCTCTTCCTCTCCCCATAAAAATCTACATTACACCCCCTTAAAAAAATAAATTGGCCTCTTCTCCTAATTTCTGACCTAACCCTACAGGATTTGGTCCCAGTCTTTATGATCTTATCTATCCCCTTCCCTTCTGATCATATTGGGCTCACATCCTTTTCTATGGACAGGACACAATTTCAATCACCTGCCACTTAAATTATAAGAGGTGTATTACTGTTAACTGATAAGATAAGTATGCTAAATATAAGGGCTCTATATAACGCCCAAAGATGAAGTCCTGGTTTCAGGCTCATTAGAATAGCAGACACCTCCACCCTGGCATTTCCCTTTTCTTAGTGCTGTATCTGGTCTCCATAGTGCAGCCAAGGAAGGGAAATCAGAGGCTGGCACTCTATAGTCTTTAGTGCTGGCAATTCCAACGTGTTTCTTGTAGCTCAGTTTTATACTTCCTGCAGAACGGGAAGACTTGACACTTCCAATGGTGTTTGGCCTCTAGTGGTCATTCTGAGTGTTCTGATCAGGTACAGAGGGATAGCTGACATCAGGTCTCCAGGAAGGGGCCACATCTTGGATCAGAAGCTGGTTGCATCTCTGGTTGATGACTCAAGCTGACATGGAAGGTCACAGGCAGTGAAGAATATTGATATCAACCAATGAATAGGAGATCTCGGGGCCAATATCTCTCTATTTTTTATCCCCCAAATATCTTCTACAGCTGATTCTCTGGTTACAAAGGCCCAGTTACTATGGTAAGGGTAGCATGGATGCAAGAGCCCAGCAATTTTAAATGGCAAATGCATGCACACGTGTGTGCATGCATTTGGCTTTAAGCATTTGAGACAATGGAATAGAATGCACTTTGGATTTGGAGTCAGCTGGCCTCACTCTTGTTCTGCTACTTAATATGTGGCCTCAGCACAAATCACGTCATTGAGCTTGTTTTTTGTTTGTTTGTTTTTTTGACCCTTAACATTCTCACAGGGTTGTCATGGGGATCTGATGAGATGATGTAGGGGGGTGTCATTCTGTAAAGTTTCATATAATATGTTCCTATCATTATACCCCACAAAGCAATTAAAGGGCCCCATAAAGGGGCATCAGTGTCGTGGGACCTTGGAAGTATAGGTTACACCCAAGTCTGTCATCTTCAGGTTGGGGTAAAGACCTTCATAAACATTTCTAAAGACAAGTATTAAGATTGTGGACAACATAAGAGTAATATTGTAGAGAAGAAACCATCTTTAAGAAGTACAGAGGAATGAATTGAAATCAAGTTAGTGATTTTCTGCTCAGACCAGATATAAAATCAGTCCCAGTACAAAACAGTGGAAAGTTTACAGAGGGAAGATTTCCCTCCCTTTGCCATCGACCTCACAATCCTGCTCATGAGCTTCGTAAAACACACATCAGATTCTCTTTTAAATTTGCTGGATAAGTCATTCCTTCCCATTATACTGTGAAACCACAGGTAGAGGAAGGCAGGAAAGTCCATGTTCCCCTATTATATCCTTCTTACATCCACATTGGCTGACAACAGGGGTTAGAACAGAATCATCCAGTTTGTTAATTACTAGAACACAGGAGCAAATTGTTTCTCTCATTATCCTTCCCAAAGGGCTACAGGAGGGATCCAAGAAAGGCCAAAAATCACCACTGCTATTTCTAGGTTCTGAGCCACCAAATCAATCCAGTTCCCTCTAACAAGTGCCAACATCCTTATTCTACAGCCCTCGCTCTGTAACACAGGTGAATATGGTGGGATCCATGAATGTTCTGGGAGACTTAGCCAGGGTGAGCTGTAGCCTGGCACTCTCGTGTCATGGTATGGTCCTGGTGAGAAAATAATTTACAGTATGTATTAAAAGTTTTAAATATGAGAGATCCAAGATGGCAGAGTAGATAAACACTGTGCCTGCATCCTTCCATGAACACACTAAAATTACAACTAAATTATAGAACAGTTAACCTGGAGAATCATCAAAAGTCTAGCCAAACAGAAGTCCTATGACTAAAAATATAAAGAAGAAGCGACATCCAGACTGGTAGGAGGAGCAGAGATGCAGAACGGGCCCCAAACCTCCATGTGGTGGTTGAGACTCAGGAAGGTTATCTCGGCTGTGGAGGTTCCCCCCCTGTCGGATGGGGGATGCCAGCACCCCACACCAGGCTTCCTAGCCCAGAGCACCAGGGAAGAGGAGCCCCCACAACATCTGGTTGTGAAAACAGTGGGGATTCCGACCATCAGGGTGGGACGGAAGACTGCGGGAAACCTATACATCCTCTTAAACAGCCCATGCACAGACTCAGTTGCTCACAGGCACTTACCTTGTGCTCCAGCGGAGGGATGGTTATTCGGAAGGTGTCAGAGACATATGGGGGCATAATCTGAGGTGTGTGGCTGTGGGGGAGAGAAGGAGGACAGTTGGCAATTTTCCTATGTGAGGCCCTTCTCCTGTGCAGCCGGCAGGCAGACGCCATCTTTCCGGTGTTGAGCCCGCCCCCACCACAGCCAAATCTGAATCTGATTGGCCTGATGAGCTCCACAGCTCTGCCCTGCAGACTCACTGGGATCCCGCCCCACCCAACTCCCCCAACATTGGAGGCACTTTCTCAGGTGAGCTGCCAGCCCCACCCACATTGCATTCTTTCTTGGAAAACTATTGGAGTCTGGCAGGACCCTGGCAGGTGGCAACTGGCCTCAGTAGGCTCTGAGACTTTTGCTGAGCCTCTCGTAAGACTGTCAGCTGATTTCTCAACAGAAACTTTGCAGGCCAGAAGGCGTTGGCACAAAATATTCAA